CATTGACATCCCTGGTTGTCAAAAACCTCTAGTTTCGTCCAATCTGATTAATCCCAGTTTGCATATGTTCGGTCTTCTGCTTGGTAAATCGTTCCATTCCAAATCACAATTAAACGGTTACTGTCTTATGAGAGAACCGTACGCCGAAATCTACACTCATCTTAGATTTCACAGATATGGTATCATCTTTAGGGCTGAAATAGTGAGGTACCAGCCTTGATCTAAAAAAAAAATCTGTTAAGTATATTTTTATATTAATCTTGGGTGCTCAAAATTGGATGGCATTATGATTTAATACATGTGCGTGCCTTTATCAAAATCCTACAGCGATCTAAAAGGGTTTTCTGGCAGTCAGTGACAGTAAGAGCCGTTGACATGTGTTTATGTTGTGCTCTAATGAATTTTTAGGCCATAGTGGTTTTCCACATAATATTATGCAAGCAAGACATTTTTGTCTGTAATGACTTATAAACGTTCATCAGTCCAACATGAGTTCAATTTGCGTACAGCCTCTTTTTCGTGTGGGCGTTTAGGGTATGGAGACGGTACAGCCACCATGGCTCATGGGCGTCTGTGTACATATTGCACCCTTTCGGGTTCCTTGTCGATATCGGCTAATTCTTGGATTCCAAAGTGTCTTCTAGCCTAGATTTGGACTTGAGACACTCAGCCATATCCTGCAAGAGTACATGTACGTACTACTTTAATAGTATCATCAGATAAGACAAGAAAAACGCCTAATTCCCATTCTACGTAAAATGTCAGGTTTCCTCCGCGCTGCAGATCAAAGAAATGTTCCCGCTAAATTGACGCAGCACCCTTTTTTGCGCTTGTCTTCGATCACGTAAAGACAGGCGTGTTTGCGCACACCTCGATTTATTTTCTAAAGTGGGGGAGGGAGTAAAAGATGGTAATCAGAGCGAAAAGTCATATGACACGAGTTTCCACATGCCGGGTTATACTTCTCACAGTAGAGAGTAACACCTTACCTATAATTCGTGGCCATGTTTGGGCACCTTACGGGCAGCAAGACCCAGGAAATGTTTTTTTAGTTCAGTTTTCGGAGGGCGGGGCGACTTAAGCCGCCTTTCCATATACGCGTCAACACTTGCGCCAAGCGTACACGTATCAGTCAGAATCGCTCCTGGGGTGATTTTGACGGCCGAACGCATCGCACACTTGTGTAATGTTAATGGGTCATTTTTTTGTTCCGTGAGAGTGAAGCGCAGGAATGCATCCAAAACATGTACATATGGAAAGGCGCCTTTAAACATCATATCCGTCCACTAGGTGCACTTTCATTTACTATCCTTAAAAAGCAGCAAATGTGTATTTCCGTAGGTCAATTCTCTGCATTTATTGGAATTTATTCTAATCAAAGTTTACTGTTAGACGTACTCAGAGTATTTTTCGTGCATTAACGAGAAGTCATCTTGTTGTTCTAGCGGTGAAATACTAGCTCTTTAAGAGTTACTGCCCAGACACTGAAAAATGCAGCGGCGTATCCAGCGGGGAAGGGGTGTCAGGAGCCCCCAGACAGATTGTCCTCCCACCTTTTCCCTTTTGTAATAACACAGGTGAGTATAGGAAAAAATGTATTTATTTATCAAAATTAGCACCAAAATTCTAAGAAAACAACATCATGAAATACAAGCAAGGATGTCAGGATCGTGAGTAAGACTTTCGATTTGTTCTCCCCAACATCATGTTGAGTATGTCCGAAGCCGCAATCGCTTTTGAATTTGCCCCCGACACCAAAAACTGAATACGCTGCTGGAAAAACGGATAAGTCGAATGTCCGTCCGATAAAAGACTACCGTCAATGGATAAGTAGAATGTCCGTCCGATAAAAGACTACCGTCAATGGATAAGTAGAATGTCCGTCCGATAAAAGACTACCGTCAATGGATAAGTCGAATGTCCGTCTGATAAAAGACCACCGTCGATGTACATTATTCGATTCAGCTGAGTCGTTCCCAGAATACATTGCGTGGAAATCACAAACATTTCAAAAGTTGTTTCACTTTTGAATGGATGATTTCAAATCATATCAATTCAAAACATCAAGTCAAATCATTTGTGAAGGTCGCGGAACCACGAAGGTATCATGGAATGAATTTTTCTGCCTCCTTCAGTCGACAGAACGAATACTCCAGACAGTGACCCACTAACACAGAAACGTAATTAAGTGATTCTGAATTAAATATCCGTGATTCAGTATTTATGACAATTTACCCAACTAGTGGTTCACGGGGTTATATACAGTATCAGAGCATCGATGCAATCTTTTCCCACCTGCAACACCCATCTGAAAACTTGTCGGATCAATCCGTAAAAACTTATCTCATTTATCTGACCAAGACAGCCACCCTCTTTGCCTTTGGTATGGCCATTTTTAAGGCCAAACTTATGTCACACTGCCGGTCTCAAATACACTTTACAGGAACGCTTTCACCTTTCCGTTACCTTGGGAACAGATAGCCCTTTGGCTTGCCTTGGAAACAGAAGTTCATCACCTCTGCAAGAAGTGATGAACGAAGTGCATGTTTGGGGGCACATCTCTGACTCCTGAGCTGGTACATTTTGGCAACGTCGTTAAGGAGTACTACAGAGACGAAAATCGATTCATACAATTTAATTTCGTCCATGGAGGTGGAGCTCATTTCGTAGTGCCGTTATCGAGTTTGCACGGGGGAGTTTAGAGTGACATTGGTCTCTCAACCTTTGCACTTTGTATTCGGTGAATTTTTCAGATCAACGAAATTCAGCGACATATTGACACCCCTTTGGTTGGCGACAATAACAAAATTGTCGGTAAAAAAATCACACCAGAAATTATAGACGGCGTAGCGCGGAACACTAGTATTTTCGTTTACAGACGTAAATATGTAGTGTAATTCATGACTCGCGTAAACGTGCGACGAAACACGAACACGCCACAATGTATGCAACGCACTAACAATACGATGCTTTATCGTCGGCCTCGTGGTATATGGGACACAGACGTAATACCTTATTCTGTGTTCCATTCGCCCTCGTGGGATAAGTAATAAAGTTAATGGTGCATTTGATATGAACATTTTGTCGGCAAGCTTTATGCCCAATATCTGTCTGATTTGGAGAACATTTCACTTAATGTGCAGACATGCGTCGACCAACTCGAACGGAAATTACAAGAGCGTGAAAATAATGTTGATAAATGTCAGTGTGGGCGTTACAGATCCGCAACAGTGTTAAATAAACTCACAGTGCCTGAAACCACACTAGTAACATTCCATGGCACAACACTCATGATAACATAAATCAGCGCTTCATGGACATACTATGTAATGTTCCTCATTTCTGTTAATTCGGTTCTTTTAGCTCGAACCAACACTGCAGCACTCTAGCTTCGCATTATCATAATATTTTTCCCCACTAAATAACCTGAATACATGGATACAGGGGAATAGGCCTAATGTATCGAGTATTGGGCCAAGGCCGTCCAGGGAAATTCTGTCAAATTCCATGTCAAACATTTGACTTTTTGTGAGAGCTGGTATTGGATGGTTAGTGGCAGAAGTGGGTCACTGGACGAGAAAATGGTGTTAATGCCAACGACAAAGAGCACCAACTTCAATGACAAGGCTATTTTTCACTGATGCTAATTATGACATATTAAAGGTTTTATGAGGACGCGACGTCATGAGCAGAATCCACTGCACAATAAAGCAAGAACATCAACGAGATCTACTCCCAACAAATTATGTCTCATTAAAACACCTCAACACTGCATGATTAGATCATTATCCCTGGTGTCTCACACGTACCATTAAACCTCACCACGTCAATCCAGACAATCTACGAACTTAAAAGCTGTCTTCACCACTTCAAGGCAGAGCGGACAATCTCCCCGAACTGCCGGGGGGTCGGACAGTCAGAAGTCCCAGCGTTCATTCTGTCAAGCCACGGTGGGATTAATTGGTTTTTAGGATGGCATCGTCCTTGCTTTGCTAGCCCAAACTGCCTCCACATCCTCACCACAAGGCCTTCACTCAATTCTCATCTATAATTAGTTTCTCTTGAAGGCACGGGTTTTCCTTTGAAGATCAGTCATGCCGTTTTGGTGCTGCTCTTACCACAGGACAGGGGAGGCAAGTTAATCTTAAGATTGTTGGGGGGTGTAATGCAAATTTATCGATTGCTTGCCGAGCAGGTGTTTGAAATATGTATGATTTAGGTCCTTCATCACTCATGGGAGAGAGAACTAAAGAGCGAAACTCTTGCAAATTCTTAAACAAGTTTGAGAGTTATGTTTAAGTTTCACAATGCAGTTTAAGAAGATATTACTATAAAATTAATGATCAACTGCGAAATCGGTCCAACAAGTTTACGAGGATGATGACATTTGCTGAACAGGAACCTTGGTGATTGTAAATGAGTAGGGCCTCTGAGCAGAACACACTACGTAACATGACCAAATCAATAGTATTGGTACTGTCTAAACCTTTACTGTCGGGCCCTCCTCTAGGCCGGTAACTACCAAAGTATAGGCCTAGTCATCATCTAAATTCGAAAACTAAACCAGTGCTGTCCCGACCACACCGGCACAGCCCAAGCCAATCTGGCACTATCCACACCAATCCGGCATTGTCCAGAACTGGCTAAATCTTATTCTACACTAATATGAAACATGCATCGATATCCAACGCACTTGCAACAGACTTTTGCCCCCCAAAAAACTTAGAAATATATTTGATGGAAAAAATGATTAACATAAAACACCCAGACTTGCTACGGCCAGCAGATGTTGTTACTAAGTAACATTTTAGACCGTTACTTGATCGAACTCCCAAGCCAATAGACAGAACAATCTACAGGCTTGTCTTACCTCGGAACACTAACAGAGGATATGGTTGCAAGCCTTGGAAAAGCACTCGAGATCACATGTATCCAATTCAAAAACAAAACAAAAAGAGAACAAAAATAAAATAAAACAAAACAAAAAAGAACGGGAAAACTAAAGTAGACAAGATGAGCAGTAAAATATTAATCATTCCGTCCTCAGAAAGTACATATCTATCACGAAGAAACGCGAATATTGGGAAGAACATCACAAATTTTGAAACTGAAAGAGGGTACATTCTGTTAAATTAGAACCAATTACCACGGACATGAAACTAGAATCTCTTGGGCAACTAAAAACCAGGAACACCAATGCTTGCTAGTTGAAGTCCACAGAAAATACCAGAGAAACAAAACAAGACCGAAAATACAAATCAAATAAGTGCACGAGTTGTGTATTCAAACATACGATGTACTGAAACAAAAACTTTGATACATCAATGTGTAACGCAGCGCTGCAGGATAGAACAGTACTTACAACTATCAATGTTTTAGGCTTCAGCCGGAATGGCAAATCTTAACAAATGAACTCAGACTTTTCAAGAAACTGCTTTCCCGTTTTCTGATGGACAAGAAATTTCAGTAATATAATGCGCCGTTCGATGAATAAAAAGCTTATCAAAACAAAAACGTGTAATTTTGTCATTACTGTACCAAATAGTTCCACGGTGTAACGTTGAAAGATACATTTATATTGAAAAAAATTCCTAACGGTTTTGTGTGAACTACTCGTTAAAATTTCGAAAGTTGCAAATCGTTTGCAACATTACAGTGTTTCTTTTAAATCTCAGCAGCTAACACCATCAGATCCGAAATTCAAAAGCAAAGAAGAATTAATTTTTTTTTATTTTTGAATAAACATCTCCAACAATTACTTTGCAAGGTTGAAGGAAAACAGTAATAGTTCACGTACCTCCAGAAACTGAACGTACTAGCTTAATACAACCTTTATAAAAGTTGTATCTCCCATTGAACAAGCTTTACTAAACAACTTAAACTGTGTCAACTTTTAGCTGGACAATATTTCTGGTTACAAATATCTTTTTGGCACACTGCAGCTTTTTCACACCGAATTACTGGAAATAAATAAACGACCACTAAACACAGAAGAAATATCATAATATCAAAAGAAACAGTCGGATGTTACCACTATAGTTGTAGTAACCATCCGCAGCTACTTTTTTCTGAGCAGTTATACTTTTGGATTTAATTTTTGCTTTTTGTAGCCAAAATTCCATATTGAGAGGCAGATTCAGCTGTGTTTGATACCACGTCTCAACTTCGACTTGACAAATAAAAACAGGCCCATTTTACGAAACAGTATATTATAGGCACCGGAGAAGTAGAAAAATTATTGAAGGACTCTGAATTCAGGTGAGGAAATGTGAGATTCTGGATTCCTTAAATCTCCACATCAACACGGCTAACAAAGCAGACACAGTGGTCTTTTACTTTAAACCATTCTTTCAAATCGGCGTTTCTTTATATTTTTACTCAGGTTGAAATGGGAGAAAATCAATAGATTCCTGACTCATTATCAGTGCTTGTGATTACTTTATATTTTGACAAAAATGTTCAAAGCTGGGTTGAAACAAGAAAGAAGAACGATTCTGCAATGTATGCTGAAAGCTAACAAACCAATAAAGCAAATCAAACTAGGCGCAATACGTAACCTTAATGGTATCATGCACACCAGCATTTACTCCCTATGAGGTAAGTTTTCACCTCGCTGGATGACATCAGTAGCATAAGCTACAGTGCTTTGAAGACTGCAGACACCAAATGAGTAAGACTGTTGCTTGCTGATTTAACATAAAAAAATTTGAATGATTACACCATCTCATGTAGGAAAAAGATGGAAAAGTTGCATGATTCTGTGGTGAAATTGTGGACAAGGTTTGATTGTTTAAAGTCAAGTGTAATCACTATGTAAGAGTTTTCAACCATTTACCATTTATGGCCTCTGATGATAATTCTCAAGATTGTGCATCAGTCCTATGGCAAGTGAGTTGTTACCTTTGAATCAGGCATCCATAAGCACCAATTTCTCCGTTGGTTTGAACTCCTTGAAGTATTTGGCAGATCAGTCAGTAGAATTAATGGACATCATTTATTAACATCTGTAGGCTGCATGTCTGCAGAGTCATTGTACAAGGCAAACACTAACGACAACAGCATCTGTCACTGAGTTTCAGTGTCCACTTGGCAAGATGGTCAATGTGTCATTACTCGTGAATGTCTGCCTCACTGTAAAAAAAAACAAAAAGGAAAAAAGAATGTAAAAAAAGGAAATACAGCAGAAAAACTTTCATTAGACTTATCATTAAAACTGAAATACCCCTTTCCTGATACAAAGCACTGTAGTTTCATTGTACAATTCACTTAAGATGTGCACTCCATGTTTTTCATCTCAATCAAACATTTTGAATCTTCAAACACTCATGTAAATGACTGTAACATGTGGCACACCAAAAAAGACACTATCATAAAAAGGCAATGCCACAACTAGTGAGAATCTGTGGTTAAAAAACCCCAAACAAAACGAAAATCCAACGAGGAACTCTCCCAAGTTCAAATAGCATGTGCACACATTTATGATGGATGTTAAGAACTCTAATAATTGTCTTATGTATCCATCCATCTAGGGAGGAAAGAATGCAGAATGAGCGACTTCTAAGGGAAATGTTCAAGTGTGATTAACGATCCCCGGTGATTAAATCTACCCCCTCATTCCAAGCAGGCTTTTCCAAGGCAATAATAACATGTAGTTTACATCATAGCCCAAGAAGTCCAAAATGCCCTTCATTTTCGTGTCTTACATTATACAATAAATATACTTTAAAAATAGCCACAAGTGATTGATTCCTGATCCACCATTACCTTGAAATAACAGCTGTTACTATTTTTCATCTTTGCGGTATTTCCTGGCCAAAAACTTCTGACATTTTCATAATTATGTGCAAATGAAAACATTAATAATAATCTTGGTTATAGTGTAAAACCAATGCTTGAAGAATGATGTTGCACACAAGGAAAAAAGCACAGGTGTCTTGAGTCCAGAGGACAAAAATATTTTTAAAAGTGACTCTCCTATTACTTTTCACTGAGAAATAAATCCTCACTCCATCATGTGTATAAATACTGTTTCTAAAATTCTAATACTTACAATTCCTTTTAAGAATCCTAGTCTATGGGGGCAACTTGCTAACTGCTGCCCCCTCTACCTCACTGGAAAAAGTTCAAAATTTAATCAAACAGTCAGATTAAGTTCCCAGCAAGCTGTTTGCCTTTAAATTCATCTACTGCTTACCTTTCTACTTCAATACCCCCCTCCCCAATTATCACTCTTCAACTCAAACCCTGGCAAACCAAACAAGACACGAATGCTTTTTGGTCAGATGAGCATCTCTCCCTAAACAGCCCCTTCCAGCCTTTCTGTCACATTTTAGCTCAATTTGTTTCTGGATCCTTAAACCAAAACCACATCGCCAACCCCACAAGAAATTTGCTTCAAACATCCAAAGACTAACAGCATGGCTCACATCATCCTTTCTTTTGTACTCTGTCGGTACTTGTACTCTTTGTCATTCATAAATGTCAACCATCATTTGGACAAAAATTACTTTAAGATGTGTATTTTCCTTTCCCTCACAGATGTGACAATGTGTTCCTTGATCCCTGTATTGGATGTTGGGATTTACTGTAGATGAAATATACATGTACCTCTGGCAAGAAGAGGGAATAAATCAAGATATAAATATCGCAAGAAGCTAAGGCAGCTACAGGATGTACTGTACTGACTACACAGCTGGTTAGCATTGAAGCAAAGCAGAGACAATACTTTGTTTCATTTATTCTTTGCTTCATTTATAAATGAATAAATTATTAATTATTATTATTACACAGCTGGTCAGCATTGAAGCAAAGCAGAGACAATACTTAAATCAAATAAATATGTCAAAAGAAGAAAATATAAACTGAATAAATTTTAATTAAAGTATCTCTACTACAAACCAGACCAAAAAATAAAATTAAACCCTTCTAATTTACATTAAGACTAAATATTACTTTTGAGGTAAAAGTCCCAAAATAGGTTTGAAACACAAATTATGATATAAATATAAAATGACGTTTATAGCAATGACTGTTACTCTGAATTACATCCTGTATTCCGAGGTAACCTCCCCCCCATTAATAGTTAGAGGCTAGGTAGGCAAAGGTAAATCTCCCTTTCAGCTGCTCTGCTCCGCCCCCTTTCCTTACCCTAAAAGGTAATTAGATTTCCAACAGGAAACCGAATGACATTCACAAATCTTGCGTGTCCAGAGCAGCTCCATCAACTTAATGAAACGAGCAACCTGCTGGGCTTTACGGCACCAACAAAATAAGAACAGACCCAACTCAGTTTTAATAACGATAGAGTTTATGCCAAGTGCAATCAAGCTCTCTTGGTAAGGCAGGATCTTACATGGTATCCTATGCTTATCATATCAAGTAGGTCATCTTTCACAATAGCTTTTAATAGTGACAACGGTGAGTGAGTGAGTGGAAATAGAACTCATCATAACCAATTAGTTTCTGCTTCCATGAAGCCATATCGACCGCAGGGTTGGGAAGTTTGGAATATCAATATAGCCTGATCATTATTGGTATCCGAGCACCAACTTGTTGCAGCTGGGTCTTGGATTTCTGAGGGTAAATATGTGCCTTTGCATTTCACAATTCATATACGCAATTTAAAAGTAACCAGCCTAGAAATCCCTGAATACTGTACCATGGCCAGTTGCATACATGCAATGCAATGGGAATAGTAGGCTGGTTCCCAGATTAGCAAATAACAATACAGTAGGCTGTTCAACAAGTCTCCGTATCTATGTAATACACTGGTATCCACACATACACACTTGTTTTACATACAAAATGTGGATAGTCCTTTGTTCTCCTGAGGTTAAGGTAAATGCTCCTTTTTCTCAAACTCTTTTTCAGAGAGGGGAAAACATTTTACGGACGTGTGCAAGTTCACACAACGCCATTGTACCCTGGATTATGTGGACTTCTTTTGTGCAGAGGTCCACACTAAGTATGACACGCCTGTACAGTGCTGTGCAGCACCATGTACATGTGTAAAAGTGGTTATGAGCACCTGGTAAGTTGAATGTTGTGATCATTTACAGTCTATGTGTAGTACGAATACATAAAGTGAAGCTGTTTGAAGTGCACGCAGTGCACGTTACCAAATTTACAGGTATTTTGGTGTAATCTTATTTAAACACTTTTAGTTTAGTATTTCAGGTATTTCAAATTTTTACCCAAAATCCACCTGTCATGTTTACTATCCATTTGGTAAAATTCTACCCATCATGTTTTATTTGTCCTTTTCCATCCAGAATCACACACTGCCAGGTGACAGGTGGGTGGGTCTTTTAGGACCCTGATAAGAACCTGCATATATGTATGTACATGTATTTAGTTGAATTTGACTGGTTGGGATGGTTGGTAGACTTGTATGGAAAAACAAAAGATAGATTGTATTGATATGAGAATAGTGCAATCATGAACACTGTTACAGTAGGTTGAGAACAACTCTGACATGAATATCTGGCAGTGATTATAACCAAAATACATATTTTCCACAAAACATGCCTTCTCTGCGGGTCTGATGAAATTCCAAACACTACAGTTTTATTCTCAAAAAGTTTTGCAGCTAGACAGAAGAGCCATGAAGACCAAGAAAGCAAAGAACTTTCTTGACTTATTTAAAATTTATGACCCACTCATATGTCAAGTACAAATGGTTGAAGCACATGACGACTTTAGTCAGGTAAGAACTTGAAATAAATGTATACACTAGAGAATGAGACATCATGAAATATCCATAGGTAAAGGAATGGAGTTAGAATTCATGATGAATAAATCATGACTTTTCTCCTTGTGAATCACCTTGGGAATGGTTGGTTCAGCTGTGCAAGTCCTGCTTCAATGAGTGCTTGATGAATCGGACATCCAACCTGCCGCAAACTCATCATAGATTGGTTTGCTACCTCATCTGCTTCATACAAGAAAATGCCTGGAACTGGCCTCTCATTCTGAAAGAAAAGAGTAGATGATGTCATTTATTAAACTTCTGTGATAATGACTTCCACGTGTGTACTTGATCATCTTACTCATTCTAGATAAAAAAGCTTAAATAATGAACAAGCATACAAGTACAGGCTGGGTTTCTTTCTACTTGTAACTACATGTATTTAAGGATGCAAATTGAACAATGCCATTGGAATTAACAATAAATTCTAATGAAAAGACAAAATTCAGTCAACATGAATACAACAAATATGTTTCTTGAAATCTACAATTCCAACAACCCTTTGAGCACAACAACCCATAAGGGCATTAAACACACCACAGATGACTCCTAACGGTGTCCTACATGTACATGTAAGTAGGACGGGCAATTTATTATTTCACATTTTACAATCAAGGGCAGGTTTGATCAAGGACCGTAGTTAACCATAATCGGACTAACTCTGATCAAATGCACACTAGTCAACAGTGGTTGGACTAGACTAGTCAACTATTCCCGACCAGTCTATCAAGGTTGGTCGCATCGTTGGTTGCAATAAACAGTTTTTAACAGCACAGTGAAGAGAGGAACAGTTATAAAAAAAAAGCCGGAAAAAAGTATGTCACTACTAAATGACAATTTTCACTTTTATTTTTACTATGTTGCCCTTCCTGCTGCCACCTTTTCTCCCCTTTGACCTAATAACCTGACAACGATGGACTAGGGTCGTTCGCACTTCAACTTGCACATGCACATGCGCTAGGTACGTCATGAACCAACCTAGTTAACTAGTGGTCCTTGACTGAACTTGCCCCATGAAAGTCAAATGAAATGAACCAGAAGCACAGTACATGTAACCATGGAGGAAGGAAAAGATTTTCAATCAGAACATCATGATGTACAAGGATGTGTATTTAACCAAATTTGATCTCTTGGATCTGTACAAGCAGTCACCCCAACAGGAAGTCTCTTTCCTCATTTCCATGGCAATATACATGGTCTATGTATATTTTTTCTTTGATTTTTACTATGACATACAGTGTATAACAGGTGCATGGCTCCATCAATTATCTCCAAATTTAAACCAAAGCAATTAAACTGAACTGTTCACAGCCACAATTCAGGCTGGATAAAGGCATTCAACATCTCCACTGACAGGTGATTAATGTGCCATACTGTAAACACAGGAAAGCCAACCAAATTCCCTGGTAATTTCCTCAAAATCTGGTAATGGGTTTTGGGAATTTTAATCAAGCTACTTGATAATGGTATATGTTAAAAGAAGCCCACACACAGCATCAGGAAATTATTGATTCCACTAAGGTTTAAATAAATACCAGTAAATCATAAAAACACTGACAATCTTAAAAAACTGCAGAGCACTTACAATAGTCACAACTTTTTCACCCTGCCCCAAACTCCTCTGACTTACGAAACTATTTTTTAATTCAAGGCTTAGAGGAAATTCTTTCTGGGCATCCCCAAGGGAGACAGCTGCATTACTGACAGAGTAGAATGAACTATTGGACACCAACCCAATAATGCCTGTTGAATTCACCTGCTAAATTCAACGAATACCTCTCTAATTAGGCAGACAGAATCACCATTATAGAACTCCTCCCACTTTAGATTCCCTCTGATAAACACATTGCCCTTGATAATATGAGAAATACCTTTCATCTTACAATGATCTTGAATGAATAAAGCAAACAAAAAGGTTAATGTTCTCGGAGGATTAATGATATTGTAAATTATAAAGAAGAGTGGCTTCAAGGTGAAATATACATTTATCAAAGTGAACTCGAATGCATGTTCTAAGGAATCACTGTTGACAATGAATTACTTTGCTGGGTGGATTTGAAATCCTCCAAGGTGGGTTTTGCTGATATCAGCTCCGGCAAGGGCACTGAATTTGATGAATTACACTCTTTCAATGGGGAAAAGGGAAGCTTGCATATCAGGTTCAATTTGTTCATCCATTACTTGTATCCAATTCAAGTGGGAGTAGGATGCAGGCTCTGACCTCGTGATAACATAACAAGTTGCTACCCATCAAGCTTTATCTGGATGACTCCTCTAAGTAAGATTGCCCTCTGGTCATCTCCTTCAGACCCCATGCTTATTTTAGTAATTTGTGGTGACCATTAAATGATTAATGCTTGCTGAGATGGACTATGGTGTTTTGAATATCTGAGAAGGGTAAATTGTGGGTAATGGTGCCATTTAATCTCTTAGGGATAAAAACCCAATGGACCATAGCACTGCAAACAACAACTATAAAAACACATAACAATATAGCCTGAGAGGTACAATGTATGGAGGTGTGGGTGACAGGGGCAAATTACTTCAGACAGCATAACATGACTTTGGACTGAAAGGGTAAATCATCTAAAACAGTCATCTATCTCAACATAATGGGAAGGACATAAAAACAACTTCCTAATGGTAGCCAGTCTGTAACCCCGCCCAGCCCAGCACGGCCATACCCAACAGTTATTCATGCATTCAGACTATCCAGTTTTGTTTAATGCAGCACTCACCTCAGTTACACTATCATATCGAAAATGTGTCCCCTGTCAGAATTCAGTAAACCATGGAGGACAAATTCACACCCCCTCACAAACCATCATCGTTACTCTCAGAAGAATTATGGAGTTGTAAGATACGATCTGCACGCAGTAAAAGTTGATTACATTTTAAGAAATTGCTTGTATCCACCTCCTATCCTTTGGATGCCATGAATTAACCTCAACTTTCAGTAAATCACCGTAGCATCAATGCATGCATACATTTCTCATTGGTGTTTGCTTTGTAACACAGACGCCATCAATACTTGAATATCTTGGAAATTCTTTTGGTCATAATCAACTCCACCAGCTCATAAAACAAGTGTTTCATTAACAGAGGTGCCACAATCAACAACATCCTGGATGCACTGACAGCTGACATAAATGTTTAATCACAAAAGACTTGCCTCAGTGTGAAAACAAGGTGCACAAGACCTCAGAGATTCTCAACCTCATTCTCGCAAACACCCAAAGCTGACAGGTGTTCTCAATTGTCATCTCCTATCTTGACAACATGCCAAATATGAGACCCTCCATAGCAGATAGTGTTATCAAGCCACTTTCTGTAGCACCCGATAAAATGGAGCATAATGTTTGCCGGTATCAGATCCTTTGTGCATGTATGGTCTCATTGTTTTTCTATTTTCAAAATTTGTACTTTGGAACAAAGTACGGCTCAACACTTGATGCCCTCAAAGTAGCTAAGGTGGGGGGAATTAGGTACAAATTTCCAGACTTCTGGGAGAAATTTTTGTGAGGTCTGTTGGTGACCTGCAAGTACTCCATAATGTAAGTTTCTGATCATGGCTACAATCTTAGTTTGTGATTGGTGGACACACTTGGCAATTGCACAAATCTCTTGAGTTAGATGAAATAATCAAAGGATACAGTCTGTTGGCCACGTACCACACGACTTTCCCTGATCAAATGGGATTGAATGCCAAAGCACTAATGCCACTGCCTCCCAAAACTTGTCAATCTTTTAATCTAATGGTCTCTTTTATTCACAAAGGTTCAGCCCATGCCCACACGGACACAGATACCATCTGTGAGAGCATGTTGGAGTGGGTGAAAGAGGTAACAAAATCAGTTATAAAGAACCAGACCTATCCCTTGACCTTGACATGTCATGAGTTATCAATTTGTGGAATGATTCCACTACATTTTTTATTCAGAAAGTTGTCCAAGTAAAAATGTAGCAGTTATCAGGTATAAACTAGAAAGATAAGAGAGATGCATTTCATTGAGGACATTCAGCTCTCCGAGGCCAATGTAACTTGCAGCCATCTCATTTGTAAGGTGAAATGAAACATAAACATGACAGTTTGCCAAAAGAATCTCTCTAATGCATTTAATCTGAAAAATCAACGACATTAATATCTTCCGATCAATCAACTCCCAGTCACTGTTGTTTACCTTGCTCCAAGCAACATACAAGTACATGTACATGAAAAGGCTTCATCCCGTTTGTGAAAAATTATCTGCTGATCAGTTAGATATTTTCAAATCCAAGATGGCAAGTATAATTTCAAAAAGGAAACACGAACAGTAAATCATCCAAGGCATCTTGACACTTCCTGGCAAATGTCCTGAAGGAAAAGATGGAAGAAGGGATGATGTTTTTGATGAATACCTTCACCTGCTGTAAGGTTAATGACCCTTCAAGGCCCCGGGTGATTTGTGGGATTGTAAGGACTGTCCACATTCATCATCAGCAGAATGAATGAGTTGTTCTTAGTATTTTGCCAGCAGGAAGGGAAGGAGGAGTTCTGTTGGATATTACAACTGCCTTTGGCTGATTCTAGTCTCCAATTTCAACAGTCATCTGAAAATTAGCGAGAGTGCATCATCTATGCTGGCTGGGAACAACTGTACTAATTTCAGGAGAAAAGAGGGGGTGTATGGACCTTGATATGACACTATAACTCTCATGTTTCTCTGGAATAAATAAATCTCTGGTTGTATCATGAACTACAAAACTTTCAAGTTCATGAAAATGAATCATAAAAGAATCAATTTCATAAAAGGCTTCCTGGGGAAATCCAAAGTATTTCAAAATAGTGATTTGACTAATTTTAGATTGCAACTGGGAAAAAAAATGGCAGTGGTAGGAACATGCACACAGCCCTCTGTTGCCATGGCGATGCTCCTGAATTCTGTGGTCTGTACTAATTTAATCGTAGCACATCATCAATGGTCCATGGAACATTCGATACGCAACTGAAGCATGGCATTTGGAGAGAGTCTAGAAAATACTGGTACCTTGAAGAACATGAAGCATGTCTACTGCCATGAAGGTGTGATGCAATGATCTGTCTTTCCTAATGGAGCAGCTGAGTTGGTCTGACATCTCTTGACGTTTGATATTTACAATGTCACTTGAGCTGAAATTGTGTGTTAGATCAGGCATTACGCAGATGTAACTGATGGAACTACTCATGTGTTGATCATAATGATG